AACGATCAGTAATGTTTTAGAAAAGATCCACTTAAGATATACAGATGTGGTTGTTACAAAATAAAATGATAAAAACAACCATTTTTCAGCCAAGCTTCTTGTAGAAAGAATACTTTTATATTCTGAATTGTTCCCATAGTACTATTTAGGGTGGCGTTATTTTATTTCGGATATTTAGTTACTCTGAAGAAGTGGACCACATCAGTTCACGAAACATCAGAAATACAATTTTCTACTCATTAGGATATAACAAAGAATATATCTGTTATTACGACCTTATAAACTTTTATATAAGGCAAATAACAAAAATGATGGAAAAACAATAATAACAATGAAAATATAAAACAAAAAGATAACGGAAAATATAGTATTTGTCTAGTATTCCATATATTCATAGTTTTAAGTACATTTGCATCCGGTCCTTCCTTTCTTTTTATTCGTATTGTCTTATACTACTGCTAATTGTTCAGTAACTAGTTTTATTTCTAATAATTTCTGAACGTAGGTTATTTGTCGTATTCACATGAACTTGTAATAATTGCTGTGTTCATTATTGCAATTACCTCCTGTCAACCTTTGTAACAGTTATTTCCAGTTTTGTGCAATCCTTAAATCTTTATATGAACGCAATAGTTTCCATATTTGTATACTCTTAGTCCCCATTGTGATTGTTAACTATAGACAGTTAACTGCTGTCATTTGAGCTATCGTACTTAGAAATTAATCTTGTTATTATTGTAAAAAGCTTTTTTGCAGACATACATACACTATATTGTCACAAACACTCTAAGAATTAAGGTTTGCAACCAAATTATATATATATATGTAATAACAATAGAACTGTAGTCATATTGTTAGATACTTCCGTTGACTTAACATATGTATTCCAGATTGGAAAACTAAATTTATTTATCCGCTTCTCTTATATCATCTTAAATGCTCACGAGCAAATATCTTATGGAATTAAGAAGTAATAATAATATAACTAAGTGAAAGACTAACAGAAAACAATTACAATTAAATATTTGTCAGTAATTAGCCTATTTCAGAATTTAAGGACTAATGTGATTTATCTCAGTAGGTAAACATGTTTTATGGCTTTGATTAGTCTATTCTACTTAAAAGTAGAACAATATTAGTCTGTGTCGAAGAAAAAGTAGACTTAAAATTTGTTCACTTTATTTCATTATACTTCTATGAACGATGACTATTAAAAGTAGACAGAGACAGATATTTAGTGACCAATAATTCCAAAACAATTACTATACATTACTATACATTGATTAAAAAAGTTTGCATGTAAATGAGAAGTAAAATCTAAGTGAAAAAACCCATTTAAAGAGATTCAGTCGGTGATAATCAATGATAAAACATTTAGTATACATATTACTTCACTATTAACTTCATCTTACCATACTAGTTACAATAAAATTTGATGACTAAAGTTTCAATGTGATCGAACAAGAAAATTCTCTCGATAATGATCTGAGCTTGTATGAAGTAAATGAATAGTGAACTAAACTGTTATAGTCTGCATTTTTTAAATCATAAATCACTTACATTCATTCTTGATATTATCATAACATGTAGATAGTTGACTTTGGTTCGGGTATTAGTTTCTTATTTCAAATTCTTACATAGTTTAATAGATGTAATAAATTACCTCAGAATACTATTGTCTCAGATTTGATGTACGTTTTATTTATCTCTTTAATAAAGTGTTAATTGTTTGTTAAACTGTGGAATAACTGATAAATATCGTTCATGAACACTATGTGCTACCCTTATAAATAATTATGATCCACTTCAGTCAAACTAAAGAAAGAAAAATCGCTACATAGAAATTAACTCATGGACTCAAATAACTTGAGTTCAAAAACATGAACCCATAAATGATGACTCAGTGGTCTAAAGGTTAAACGTTCATCGTGGGATTTTAGGTTACTAAGTTCGAACCTCAGTGGGATAATGGATTCAAACTACTACTCATCCCATACTAGATTTCAGTGCTCTCTGATTTTCAATGGCTGTTCAGTACAAGTCATTGATCACTGTTAACGCCTTGAGGAGCTAACTCTGTTAAATGCTGAGTTTGCCAGAACTTCGATTGTGATTTTCTTACGGGTAGAGATGCACATATACAAATAAGTATTTGTGCATTTTATTCCGTAATCCACTCTTGTGTTCTCGCTCAAGTAGTCAGGTGGAGGGAGGGTTAACGTGTGGCACGTTGATTACCAATATCGGATTTCGGACACCGCCCATCATAACAAACACTATAAGAACGCTTGGTCGCAATACTAAAAAATAATTACATCATTCAATCTAACTATCAATGCTGAAGACATCCTACCAATTTAGTTGCCAAGTAATTCAATGACGAAATTCACTGTTTCTTAGTTAAGGGATCAGGCAGGATTATAAAATAGAAGAAATAGCTCGCGAATAGTTGACTTAGCAAACCAATATATTGCATCATGACACCACACAGCTCAAGGTCTTATCTAGGGATCGTCAAGAGGCATTACGAAACTTAGTGTATATTTAAAATATTGCCATTCTCCATTGTGATAGGGACTATGCGGTCTTTACGATGGATAGGAAAACTTATGTAAGTAAAGTTAGGATTATTGTAGATGATTCATTCAAGTTTCCGATTGATTTTTAAAAAAATAGATAGCTGAAAACATGTTACGAAGTAAAAGATGAACAGGAATTGATCATAGTCAAAGTTGACTGAGTTGTAAATTTACGGAAAGTTAGAAACAAGGTGTGCTACGGTTCTTAAGAGATTTTGTTTTCAAAACTTGGCTGCAAGAGTGAAGAAGCTAGGACGATTAATTTTCGATTAGAAGGTACGTTGAGAAATCGGTAATCAACAGTTCAGCCGCCTCCACTCTGAGACAGTCGACCTTGGGTACATTTCCACACCGTGTTACCTGGAATTGAGTCTGCCGGTTCACACGTATCTGATAAAGTACTCAGGTTGGAAGAACAAAATTGAGAAATATTATTTGCATCTCTGAGGACGTTCCAGAGAAATAAAGATTAAAATGAAACTATGTTCTCAGTATTATTTGATACTGAACACAGCTTTTTAAATCCTTTCAACATAATCAATGGGTTAATGACTTTAAAATTATTGCACACTTTTGAAGATACTGCTATCAGCAGATTCAAACCAAACTAATCCATCCAAAAGGATACTGTAATCAACATTACTTAGCATCTGTGCAGTATCATGACAATGAGATGGATAATATCGTATATTATACCATCAACCACGTTTCTTTTCTCTGATTTATTATTTGAACCCTACTCAACTAACCAATCTTTTCTGTATTTAGTATTGGGTAACCTATAAGAATAATTTTACATTTCTGTCTATGAGCTCAGTTCTCTCGTCAGGAATATTTGTAAACTTGATCTTTTAATTGTCCCAGTTATTTAATTTTTTACAAGCTACCATTTGCGTCAACTGTAACCCTAATCAAGACTTCCCTTTGAATTCAATATAAAATATGTACACTTATTCTTAATATTATTATCCTTAGGATACAAGTGACTGAAGGGAATTTACAAAATTAATGAATTCATATTCTTTGGCTATGATTAGTTTTCATGTTATGCAAGAACTTATAAAGCAAAGAAAATGTATGAAATCACTGATCTTATGGTTACCTACATAGAATATATATATATATATATATATATATATATATATATATATATATATATATATATATATATATATATCTGAAAATGTACTCAATTTTACATTGGATGACGTATCAAATATTCACGTATTTTGAGATGGTGGAGATTTGAAGCTCAGGTGGATGATTTTGGTGGAGTTTTGTTCTCTGAGCTGGATAGAAGTTTGTGCTGATTATGTCGTTCAGAAGAACGATGAAAGCTCCACGACCAAACCATCCAGCTCAGAGAACAAAACTCCACCAAAAACTATTCACGTAACACTTCAGATCAGTAGTAATGGAAGATTAGATGAGCACGTAACATGTGATAGCGTCAACACGTACAATACTCTGTATCACATAGTCTAAAAAGAAATATGGGTATTTACTCTGACTGTAAAGTGAACTCATAATTTGATTTTGCTGGAGTAGAGCGTAGATTATGGGATGCATTGTATGACATATCAAAAGGATACTCACATAGACAAGAATTTACCAAGTCATCCGATAACCCACATCATTCACTTGTAGCTTTATATCTAATCTCGAAATCGTTTCATCATCTTCGAGTGACTCTTTAAAGACCCAATATATTAATATTATTCAAGTCCAGTGATCTTTTTTCCACAAGAACAAATTAAAAGTCATTGGTCGAAATTTCCTTATGAATGATAACCTGTGAATTATGGCTTAATAATTGAGCTGACTGGCTTAAATACTGTTACTCATGGCCAGGTATATATAAAAATGAAAATTACTCCTGTTTATTTAGAAGTAATATTTACAATTTGCAAGCAAATTGATGAAGAAATGATAATAAATATCAAACTACAGACTAAAAGAATGAAATTGATTTGTTTGACCATTATAATCTACTTTAATAGGCTATCTTTGACAAACACATCTAAAAACGTGTTAGTGTATTATGCTTCCTAAAACAATTACACATTTGCTTTCACTTAAAACAAAAGACAGATTTTACGATTTGGATGTATATCGTTGAAAACCTATGGAACATAGAAGTTCGATATAACTGTTCCTTTAAATTTCCCCTTAATGGTTTTAAGCGCAGTCTAATAACTATGTCCTTTCGTTCATACTAGACTACAAGAAAAATTAACAACTACCTACTGTTTCTGAAATTTTAAAGGACAAAGATCACCGGCAAATTACCTTAGTTTTATGTCAATAAAGAACTAAAGATAATTATCATATGTATATTTACAGAACAGTATGTTACATTAAAATTAATTTATACAAAATAAAGATTATCAGTATAATTATGTCATTCAATTATTCGTATTTTCAAGATCTGAAAAGATCCCTTGATGCCATGCGACTTAAGATACTCTCAAGTAAAGATCTATGAGGATCATCGGACTTATTGATTAAACTTCGTTCTAAGTTTGTTATTCCATATTCTTGACAAACTTTATCAGTGTTCTTGACCAACTGTGTCAATGAACCAGTATTTATTGTACCTTGAATTGTATTTACAATTTGTGATAAGTAACTTTGTAAAACTGGATCATTTGGTTGATAAAAATCTGTGGAATAAATTATCCCTATAATCAGTTCTTTGGTAGATGCTTTAATCCCAAATGTATCCAGTGCATGAGTAATCGATCGGTTTGGGCTAAGGCAATATAGAATCTCGGTAGCCAACCCTCGTGTATACATTCCACCCGAAGATTCATCGTTATAATGGATTAAAGCTTGGGTAATAGCGGCCTCTATCTAAAAGTATGGATGTGTGAAAAATCGTTATTAGATTGGTAAAATTCATAAAGATATAGGTCATAAACGCCGGCCATAATTCAGTTAAAAATACTGAACAATTAAGAAGCTGATGATTTAATTTTTCCAAAGATTATCATCATGAAATGATATTAAAGATTGATTAACAGACTAATAAATAAATAAAAATTTTGAAATCAATAAATATATCAAGATGCAATACTTATTGATGAATAAGCTAACTGCATATTTTGTTCAAATCAAAATAAGGAGAACAATGACCTTTATAGCAAATCGCAAAAACGTTGGCCGTCACGTACCATTTTACAACAGTTTACTTCACAGACTGATTTTAGTTACACAACTGTTGAAAATAGAAAAGTACTGTCGAGCTGCTTCGTCAGTGTGAACGCATGACCCCTCCACGGAGCTAACCTAGGAATTTCATCTGTGATGACAAATGCTAAACCACTGAGGTAGCATCTGAAAGTCTACATTCTTAACTTTAATCAATTCGCGATATTACACAGGCATCTTCCAATGCCGTTGCTCGGTAACTGCCTCATACCCGACATAATTTAACTCCACAGGTAATGGCCTTTTACGAGAACATCGGGAATTACCTCAAACTTAGTCACAAACCTTGAAGCCGAACAATCTATGTTTATTTTTCACTTGTTGAGATATATCTTTGAAAAATAATAATATCATAAACATTTACATGAGGAAAGCGATATAATTCAAAGAAAAAGCAAACTTGGCATCATTCAACAATATTTGTTTGCATTATAGATTCGGGTGGTAAAATATCAAATGTTGGAACACTTCATGCTAAATTCAAAGCTCTAAATATAAGTGACAGTGAAGGAAAACTGAAACTAAATAAATAAAGAGATTGAAAAAAAAGAACAATGGAGCTCAAAACTATGATCATAAAAAGTGAAGCTGAATGATTAAATCACTAAATCCCAGATGCAACTTGATAATATTTAGTACTAATGGTAGAGACTAATCAAAAATATGAACGATATGATAATGAAACAATATTAATCATTACTATTAAACATATGATAGATCAATCCCTTATAGCTGAAAATAATCAACCGTGATAATAAGTGTCGTCAAAAGTTTGATCAAGAGCAATAGACACCAATTAGAACAACCGTTCATAATGGATAAAGTTTAAAAGGGGGACAAAACATATACTTTACACAAATTCACTGTTAGAAAACGATACATTGCGTATAAAGGTTAAAAAAAACAAATGGAGATTAGTAAACATTACAAATAAGTGGTACTGTCATATTTATTTGTGGGAAAATATAGCACATAACCAACCTGAACTATATCGATGATGACATCACTATCAATTAACACAATGGCAGCGTTTGTAAGGGTGGGAAATTGTTTTGAATGTATTTTTGTTTGGATATCTTCAGTATTGTTGACATTACACCACAATGAGAAATGGAAATGGAAGCGATTATTTAAATTAAAATTTAATGTCCGCCAAATTGAATCCATTTTAAGCTGAAAATAATAAAACCAAAATTTTTAAAAAAATAATAAGTGAAAAATGTGACGAAAATTTCGAGAAATACGCTAGCAGTAAAAACAAGAATTAGTAACGGAAAAAAGACTACAAGATGAAGTGATGAATATAAACAAAAAGCAAAGCATTACAATCGTGACAAGAAAATAACATATTCGAAAAAGACAAACAGTGCACAAAAAATGATTACTACGCTGAAGACGTCCAGACAAGCTTATTTATTTGAACACAAATATTGGTACAAGTGAGCGCCAATATATATGCGCCACACAAAACAATGAGAATTCGAAGAGAAAAAAAAGGTAAGGAGCGTAAAAAAGAGAACAATAACGAAGAGATTGGTGTAAGGTAGTGTAGTAATAATGAGGGAACGGAAAGGTACAATCAGAAGAAATCTTTCAGTTAAGGAAGACACAACCACTTTTTATGAAGAAAGTAAAAGAAGGTTACAGCAGGATCGCCACTGGCTTCTATTCTGAGCCATATCTGGTAACGTCTCTAGCCACTGTGTAGCACCATCTATCAGACCCCAACCAGGGAGTCGTGAAGGACCAACAAAAGCCAGTCCCTTTGCAGCTTTCTTTCATGCCACGACACCATGTCATGCACTGACCACCTTTCTGCTTCTTCCAACCAGTCCCAGAGTCGGCAAATAATGCACGACGTGGAATTCTCTGGGACGACATTCGTAGAACATGTCCAAGCCACCGAAGTCGGTGTTTTAAGATGATGACATCGATTGCATTATCATCTCTGTGCCCGAACACACGATGCCGAACCTCTGCATTACTGACATGGTGTTGCCACTGGATGTCAGCGATCCTTCGGAGACAGCGATGATCGAACACAGAGAGTCTTCTAACGTCTTCAACTCGGAGAGGCCAGGTTTCACAAGCATAGAGAAAAACTGCTCTCACCGACGCGTTGTAGATCCGACCTCTTACAGCCAGACTAACATCACGAAGGCGCCAAAGATAGCCCAGATTGGCATAGGCCGCTTTGGCTTTCACTATACGTGCATTGATCTCATCACTCATCACGAAGTAAGGAGTGCATGCGTAAGTCAGACAAACTAGCTGGGCAAAACGATGGAATAATTTAAATTTCAATCGCTTAGATTATTTCAAATATATTTTTCACACATAACGACTAAAAGACTCCGTTTAAATAAGTACCAGAAAATCATTCAGTAATAATCAGAAAACGATCTAACATATCAATATATGTTTCACTACCCTACACGTAATCTTAATAACATTCGATCGGATATTCGACGATTCCCTAACAATGACAAAAAGAAACCAGTGCGTAAAATCATGCTACAATCAAATATTCTCCATTACCAAGTGACAAATTTACCAGTGAGATACAAGTATAAACCGGATATGATGTGAAATTCGGAAAAGAAAACCTATTCAAATAAACAATGAAACAAAACAACGTCAAAACGGTCAACAAAATACTCGAAGAGATCGGAAAAAAAAACATCAACACGTCAGGAAAGTACTCACCAATACCAAACAATCAACTACACAAAACCACTCAGGCACATCCATATACACTTCACAAAGCACAACATCAAATATTTTAACACCATATTCATAAGACTAAACACAACAAATTCTACAAACCAATACATCAAATTTATTTGCAAATCAATGGACACCACCGACATAGATGTGACAGTGGAATACTCGATGTTGTACTACCCAGTTTGGACAAAGATAAATTACTATTTCGACCTCCGGAGTGTGCTCACTTAAGCTCGGCAAACATTCACACACATTCAGAACTCTTCAATCCCCGTCAGAAAGTAACTAAATAATCAAGCAAATATATATATATATATATATATATATATATATATATATATACATATATATATACATATAAGAAACCTCAATTCCAACTGACAACTCGTCATCAACACGAAACATCCTCCAGTCATACAAATATAATCGTGTACCGTCTCCGTCGAGAATGATAATGTCTATCGACTCAACGGTCAACTTATTCATTTAGTCCATCAGCGAATCCCGCAGAATGTCTACTGAGGGTATTAGATTATGGACACGTCCATATGACCACCCATGGTCAACAAATTTCCACAAACAACAAAACTTCATACACATCGTTCAGGCAATCCAACAAACACAATCATCTATTCTCATACATATATACGCAAAAATATTTTTTCTCATTTTGCCACACATCCACCAATCTATAAAGGGACAAGTTATCTATGCAGTGTCGAACACGCGAAGAAAAGTATGTCGAAAGCAAGCTCACTGCAAACACCTGTAAACGATCAATCATCAAATACAAACAACTTATCACACCACTACAGTCCCAACATCACTATCCGAACATAAGATCCCAGTGCAATACAACACACAACTAAATCACACAACACACAATATCTACTCGATTAGTCAATAACCACCGTACACAAAATCACCAACACCACATAATCACTCACGTCCGATGTAAAAGGAACAAATAACACTAACTATCAATATACTCCATATGCGAATACTATCGTCCGAAACGAAAACTACAGATATCTCGATGGACATCTACCACAACTAACACTGTCTACACACTATTCAGAAATACTCTCGTCACCACAGTCATCCTGTTCTCCACTCACACTCCCACATCTTAACTACAGAACACAACCAGTCAATGTTACACAAGCATTTCACAAGACAAAATGACGCATCTGCACAACTAACATCACCAATATCACTAACATACATGCATACACACACACGACAACAACACTCTCCAATAATCACTACATTATTCAGCTCCGCATCTACACATGAAGAAATCAACAACACATATTAGTCAGACGTCTCTACACAAAACATTCACACCACACTCCTCTGTTCACAGAACAACAATTAACTAAACGACCAGCTAACCCTTTGGTGTCGGCGACACACCACCTCAGAAAAATAAACTGTTTCTTCAACCCAACTATTATTAAGCGAAACAAAACACTCAACTACAACTCACGTTGTCCACAAACAACACTCACCACACATCTGTGAAAGATTAACACTTCTGTGATACACAGTACAAACAAATCAACGTCAAACACAAATACCATCTTCATCATCCACCATCACTCACTCTCTCCCACACACACACCCTACAAACCATCCACATTAGGCAACCTCACTCCAATTACTACTTGCACATTTTACACAAAAATTCAACATAACATACACAAACACAACAACTGTGATATTCAATGAATGGACACCACTAACAGATAAGCGACAGTGGAATACTCGATGTTGCACTACCCAGTTTGGACAAAGATAAATTACTATCTCCACTTCCGGAGTGTGCTCACCAATACCAAACAATCAACTACACAAAACCACTCAGGCACATCCATATACACTTCACAAAGCACAACATCAAATATTTTAACACCATATTCATAAGACTAAACACAACAAATTCAACAAACCAATACATCAAATTTATTTGCAAATCAATGGACACCACCGACATAGATGTGACAGTGGAATACTCGATGTTGCACTACCCAGTTTGGACAAAGATAAATTACTATTTCGACCTCCGGAGTGTGCTCACTTACGCTCGGCAAACATTCACACACATTCAGAACTCTTCAATCCCCGTCAGAAAGTAACTAAATAATCAAGCAAATATATATATATATATATATATATATATATATATATATATATATACATATATATATACATATAAGAAACCTCAATTCCAACTGACAACTCGTCATCAACACGAAACATCCTCCAGTCATACAAATATAATCGTGTACCGTCTCCGTCGAGAATGATAATGTCTATCGACTCAACGGTCAACTTATTCATTTAGTCCATCAGCGAATCCCGCAGAATGTCTACTGAGGGTATTAGATTATGGACACGTCCATATGACCACCCATGGTCAACAAATTTCCACAAACAACAAAACTTCATACACATCGTTCAGGCAATCCAACAAACACAATCATCTATTCTCATACATATATACGCAAAAATATTTTTTCTCATTTTGCCACACATCCACCAATCTATAAAGGGACAAGTTATCTATGCAGTGTCGAACACGCGAAGAAAAGTATGTCGAAAGCAAGCTCACTGCAAACACCTGTAAACGATCAATCATCAAATACAAACAACTTATCACACCACTACAGTCCCAACATCACTATCCGAACATAAGATCCCAGTGCAATACAACACACAACTAAATCACACAACACACAATATCTACTCGATTAGTCAATAACCACCGTACACAAAATCACCAACACCACATAATCACTCACGTCCGATGTAAAAGGAACAAATAACACTAACTATCAATATACTCCATATGCGAATACTATCGTCCGAAACGAAAACTACAGATATCTCGATGGACATCTACCACAACTAACACTGTCTACACACTATTCAGAAATACTCTCGTCACCACAGTCATCCTGTTCTCCACTCACACTCCCACATCTTAACTACAGAACACAACCAGTCAATGTTACACAAGCATTTCACAAGACAAAATGACGCATCTGCACAACTAACATCACCAATATCACTAACATACATGCATACACACACACGACAACAACACTCTCCAATAATCACTACATTATTCAGCTCCGCATCTACACATGAAGAAATCAACAACACATATTAGTCAGACGTCTCTACACAAAACATTCACACCACACTCCTCTGTTCACAGAACAACAATTAACTAAACGACCAGCTAACCCTTTGGTGTCGGCGACACACCACCTCAGAAAAATAAACTGTTTCTTCAACCCAACTATTATTAAGCGAAACAAAACACTCAACTACAACTCACGTTGTCCACAAACAACACTCACCACACATCTGTGAAAGATTAACACTTCTGTGATACACAGTACAAACAAATCAACGTCAAACACAAATACCAT